GTGCTCCTCTCTGCTTCAAATATGATGAATTTTTTTTTTTAAAGTTCTGTAATTTATCTATCAACACAATTTACAATTGTGCCTGAAGTAATTTTGACACGATTTGGAACAGATTTTTATGAAGAGCAAACCTTTCCCACTAAATTYGTCATGTGACTAGAATGAGGGACTCAAGGGGATTAATCGTAAAAATTAATCATTATCGGCTAAATAACACAATTAATCGTGATTTATTTTTTTGRCAATATTGCCCAACCCTAGGTCAGACTTACCCAGGAACATTATTGTTGTTGTTCCTCAGAAACAAACAGGAGGGTTAATTAAACTTTATTAAAGTTTAGCTGCTAAAGATGCTACATGCTACATGCTACACACACAGAGCCTGACACATCAGTGCTGCCTATAAGAGTGGATACATTTGATTTATTATTCTATAAATGACACAAAAATAAAAATTTTATGCTTGTAAACTTTTTAATGACTTAAAATTATGGGAACCTAACGGTTTCCAAAATGAGCAAAAAGCTAATCGCTACACGAGAAGCTAGTTCAGCTATTAGTGGATTAGCGGAAGTGGGTTCAAAAAGTCATGCAGTTAGCACAGAGCCATGTGTTTTCTTTGTAGGTTGTAGTTATTTATGCGTTGCTAGTTAAAGTTTTAAGTCTTAATCTGATTTCGTGATTTCTCTGTAAACATTACAACATTTAACTCAAACGGTTCTTTGACAAACTGTGTTTATAACAGKTGAGCCCACCTGTGGTAAAACTCCGTGATAACTGCCCCATCCTGTGGCTTCATCGCTGTTCTGGACCGAAGCCGACGGCGGTCCGTTGTTGTAATAAGAAGGAAACAGCCGCTGCGGGAACTTGTAATCCATTTAACTTTTCTTTAAAGCATTTRAAAACAATTACCAGGCGTTTAAACGCGTGTCTACGTCGCTGTATTAGGAACAAGTCACGGATCGTGCCGCTAGCTACTTATGCTAACATAAAAATAAGTTAAAAATACCCGTTTCTCCTCCCAGGAACACTGAAAAATCAGATTAACAACTTCAACAACTCTGTGTCCGCACCCACACGAAATCTGCTGTCCGAAAGAACCATGAAAATAAAGTTAAAGTATTGAAAGACCCGTCAAACACGTGCCAGACTGTCAGCACAGCGAAACGGAAGTCACGTTCAAAACCAAGAGCGAAAACTTCCGGTTTTGTTCCGCTACAAAATAAACGTACGGGATATGAGGAGAGAATATCAAATAGAAAARAATTTGCGTTCTTATATTTGGTCAAAAAATTACCTCAACAGTTTGTAACGCAATACATCCCCTTTTAATTTTAAGGGTTTAAGTATCTGAACGGAATAWAAACAATTTTAGAGGATTCTACAGATTTCCTGGCCACCGGTTTTTCACGGTATAAACGAGCTCTCTAAGGACATCATAATTAACATATTTTGCTCCATGTGGAAATACCAACTTGTATTAATCAATTTGTAAACACGTCGTTTTTTATGTGTTTAAATGTTCTCTTATTTTGTCAGACCGGAAGTACATGTCGGCTGTCGCCTGATCAGCTGACCGAACAGATCGGTTTGTCGMTGAAACGACAGAACTAAACAGCTCAAAACACAGAAATTTTTTTCTATTTGCTGCGGGAGAGACCGCTTGTCTGAAAGGCTTGGGCCACCCGGACATGTCTCAGTAGGACTTTGTTTATCGGTATGTTTGAGTAAATTTTCCTCGTATTTAGAGCGCGTTAGCTACGATGCTAACTCCGGAAGTGTCGAAGTGATGCAGTCGAGCTCGCTAATCTGGCTGTCCTCTAACGTCAGATAACCAGTGATTGTTAGCTGCTGGTTTAAATGTCCGCAGTGCTGGTTCTCATCTGATGTCAGTGAGTGATGAGCTGCATTTTAACGGGTTTTAGCTGGGTTTAAGATAGAAAGCTATRATTATCAATGCTAATGTAGCTCGTAAACACGAGCAGGTGATGTTTGTTTTCACCGTGTCGTGACAGAACCAGTTCCCCCCGAGGACGACTTTTCTGAAACAATCATGGACCTGAATTTGATTAGATTTGTGTCATTTGATTAGGGATTTTTTTAAGTTTTTATATTGACGATTAGTATATTTAATGTCTGCTTAAAAAATTACAAAACACATCTAAAACACACTGTCTACTTGTACCRTTTTATTAATGTTTCTATAGCTTCTAGCTGCTTTTCCTTTGCTAATTTTAGCTGTTATACTTAACTTTTTTATTTTTATCCAGATTTTTTTCCAACTTAATTAGTCTTGTTTCATTTGGCTGTTAGTCTAAACTAACATTTATATATTTTATAKTTTTGGCTAACCTTTTGGTATTTTAGCTTTTAGCATTTTTGTCAGTTGACTTCATTTAGTTACTTTCCTTTACTAGCCTAAATCTACTTGCAATCTCCATTTACTGTTTTACCACTTTAGCATTTAGCTTTTGTTTTACTAAATAAGTTTTATCCCTTGACATTTACAACTTAATTTATCCACGTTTTGATTTTAGCTAATTCTTTAATTCATTTTTGCTTCAGGCTAACCTTCTGCTACTTTTAGCTGCTAGCTAACAATTTACAGCTTTAGCTTTTAGCTAACATTTTTTCCACAATTGAGTACTTTTGGCTACATTTACCTTTTGTATTTGCCTATTTTTGTTAAGTCTCTTTTTGCGTTAAACTTTCCTGTTGCTAATGTTAGCTGTTAGCATGTCTTTAGATACTTTGTTTTTACCTAGCCTTTTACAARTTTTAACTAGTCTTTTGCTGCTTTAAACTGTTAGTTGGCCTATATCCACATTTATATTTTAACTAATCTTTTTGATATGTTTTGCTTTTGGCTAACAGTATTTTGCTACTTTTAGTTTTTTGGTAGCATTTTGCTTGTTTAGCTAGTAGCTAACATTTTTTGACGTAGAGATACTTTTACCATTTTGCTAGGCTATTTCTAAGTAGCTTCCATTTACTGTATTACCATTTTTAGCAATAAGCTTTTCTTTGGCTACTTTTTGCTAGTTTTCTGCTTCATTGAGCTGAGTTTTGGCCTTTTTGGCAGGTTTCAGCTGTCATTCAGCTCTCAGCCTTTGTGCTGTGTTTTCACAGGAAGTGCAGTTTGTCTTTATAGGAAGTGCAGTTTGTTTTTACAGGAAGTGCAGTTTGTTTTTACAGGAAGTGCAGTTTGTTTTTACAGGAAGTGCAGTTTGTTTTCACAGGAAGTGCAGTTTGTTTTCACAGGAAGTGCAGTTTGTCTTGTTTACACCTGTCTGAATTTTGCTCGGCCCAGACGTGCCTGCATAATGTCCGGGAACAACCTGGTCCTGCCCATCGTGCTGTGGGGCCGGACGGCTCCCACCCACTGCATCAGCAGCCTCCTGGTGATGGACGACTTCAACACCATCGTCACCGGCTGCCATGATGGACAGATCTGTCTCTGGGACATGACTCCTGAGCTGAAGGTACGCAGCAGGATGATATTGTGATGTTGTTTTTATTACCATGTGAGCYATGGGATGATAGTTTTTTTTCTTTCACTTCCTGTCTTCAGATTTGTCCCAGGGCGATGCTGTTCGGTCACACAGCCTCCATCACCTGTCTGTCTAAAGCCAGCTCCTCTGGGGACAAACAGTACATCGTCAGCGCTTCAGAGAGCGGGTGAGTTCTTTTATCGCCATCTAATTGGCGACAGCCAACCGCCAGAAGAAAACAGACTTCRTGTAGGCAGGAAGAACATTTAAATTGAGGTTGATCAACTGGGAGATGGTTTGAACATATCCACAGGAGGGACAGTGAGTGTTTTGCTAAAATGAAGTGAAATAGAGGTTGTTAGCGCATCTAAAGTTGGTAAAACCTWATTTAGCAGAAGCTAATTGGTCTTTTAACGGTTTTCACAGTGAAAAAGCTTTGCTGACTCATAATCTGCTAACCAGATATATAGCTTCACTAACTAAACTGCTAAACATGTAGAAAAAAAAGAAGCTAATGCTAACAGCTACCGCTAAGACGGCAGTCAAGCTGCGTCTCTAGTCTTCATCTCCTTTGAGTTGGACTGGTTTACTTGTTAGTTAGCTGCTAGCGGATTAGCGGATTTAAAGTTGGTAAAACCTAATTTAGCAGAAGCTGATGGATCTTTTAACGGTTTTCACAGTGAAAAAGCTTTGCTAACTCATAATCCACTAACCAAGTATATAGCTTCACTAACACTAAACTGCTAAACATGAAAAAAAAAATTAATAGAAGCTAATGCTAACAACTAATATCTAACTGCTAAGACGACGGGGACGCTGCGTCTCACTTCTTTGTCTCCTTTGAGTTGAAGACTGGTTAGCTTGTTAGTTAGCTGTTAGCTGTTAGTGGACTTAAAGTTGATAAAACCTAATTTAGCGGAAGCTAACTGGTCGCTAACAGTTTTCAAAGATAGTGAAAAAGCTAATCCGCTAAAAGAAAAGTTAGTTTTCCTGTTAGCAGATTAGCAGAACCGTGTTCACCACTGATTGGTGCCTGCTTGTTTTCTCATATCGGGCTGTTGTTGTTGTTGTTTACAGAGAGATGTGTTTGTGGGATGTAAACGACGGGCGATGCATCGAGTTCACCAAACTGGCGTGCGCCCACACGGGGATCCAGGTAAACCTGGTTTCACAGACGGTGAACTGGATTCAGGCAGATGATAAATCAACACAAACAAACAAACAAACAGGTAGAGTAAACGTTTGTCTCGTTCTGTCAGTTCTATCAGTTCACCATRGGCACTCAGAAGGAGGGACGCCTGCTCTGTAACGGTCATTACCCAGAAATCCTTGTGGTGGACGCCACCAGCCTGGAGGTCCTGTACTCGCTGGTCTCCAAGATCGCTCCGGACTGGATCAGCTCCATGAGCATCGTCCGGTCCCACCGCACTCAGGGTGAGGGGGTCTCAGCTGTGTCAGGGTTTGTTAATCTGGATTAAACTGTTCCAGTTGGGCTTGTCTTCAATCTGGATTAACATGTCTGATCTTTCAGAGGACACGGTGGTGGCGGTGTCAGTGACGGGCATCCTGAAGGTCTGGATCATAACAGCTGAGGTCAGCAGGATGCAGGTACACCCCTACACACACACACACACACACACACACACACACAC